AATCATCTCTCTTTTTTCGGATAGGCATAGGCTTGATAATGGTTTGAAGTCTTAATAATGGAGCTTACGATAGTGAACAAATTCAAAAAAAAAAAAACAAAATCCGTGAGAAACGGTGAGAAAAACTCCTAAAAATTGTTTTGTTTCTCCAAGAAAACTTAAAAATATAGAACGAGAGGTGGCGCTGTTGTCGATCATAAATTTTATATTCACACTCGGAAGTCCGAAGTGATACTCATCGCGCCATCTACTGGGGAGGGCAGAACAACGTCTGCCGGGTCAGCCTGATATATCTAAAAATTAAATTCAACAATGTCACAACGACTTTATATGAGTGAAACTGAAACCAAATAAATGATAAAATATGGCCGTGCGAACAAAAATTGTTCACTGCTTAACCTTTTGAGCGCCAAAGTCGTCTATACGTGACCAGCACCCGCGTGCCCTGAGCGCCAACGACGTCTATAGATGACAAAAAACCCGGCCCACAAAAATATGAAATATAGACATTGGGAAATTATTAGTGGTATTTTAATTCTACACCCCTCAAAAAAGAATAACCCAGCAACATGTGAGTATAAAAAACAAGTCTTCTAGAGCCACAAGTACTAAGAAACATTGAACTAAAAAAAAATGGATTTTTATCTAAGCAAATACTATGTCCAGCACGCCAAAGTCGTCTATGTTAGACCGCTAGTGTTGTAATGCGTTAGCCATAAATTTATTGAAAACTATTCAAAATTAAGCTCAAACGTGTTATTTTTTTCTATTATTATTGATATTTAAATAAAACAAAAGGTTAGAAATATAAAACTATAATTAGCTACATGAATTTAAAAAAAAATAACAAATTATCTTCGCATAATAAATCTAATATCTCAACTCTGGCGCATCCTTAGCGCGACATCGAAAATCAGTTCACTGGGCGCCGTGGTCAAGTATAGACGACACACTGATGACGTCATAAGCGATTAGCGGGAAAATTAGTGCAGTGCAACATGAACGATTCCTCAGAACACATTCGGATTTTGGAAAGCGTCGACGATGATGAATTTTCGGAAATTTAAAATTATCGTGAAACCAAAGTTTTTCGTTTTCGATTAACTCTACCTCAATGAGGTAGGAATACACTTTATAGTCTTTTTACGGTTAATTTCTTTTTTTATAGCATAGGGTAATAAACGAGCACACAGTCCACCTGATGGCAAGTGGTTGCTGTGGCCCATAGACATTTACATCTATCCTCGATTACGAATCAAAATGCAGATGCGCTCTCACCCGCGAGGACTTAGATGGAATGCCTCGTTTCCAGTAAAGAGGGTCTCCGGTTCTCTACACTTACCATACGAAACACAGCAGCATTAAGCTACTATTTGATGCCGATATTCCGTGAGAGCGTGGTTCTTCCCCGGTTGAGCCGACCCATTCGTGCTACAACTACTAACTCCCGTAATATAACTGCAGCATGGCTCTACCAAGTTAGAAAATTTGCTTTGGCCAGCTAAACATTTATGTTTTATTATTCCATAAGATTTTTATTATTTTAAGACTAATATTACCTATAATTTATTAATTATTTTTAATTGTTTTTTTCTATATTAAGTACTGATTGAGTTAAAGACCAAGATTTTAATATTTTATGACTAGACCTAGTGCAAATAATTATTTACAATTGTTGAATAATTATGTACCCTTTGTTGATTTCTGTAATAAGTACTGATTTTTTTATTCCATGACCAAGATTTTAATATTATAAGACTGATTTTTCTAGTGCGAATAATTACCTATATACAGTTGTTGATTAGTGAATAATTACGTACCTTTTCTATTTTAATAATATAAAATTACAAATAATAAATGTGTTTTCTTTACTTAAGGTATGAAGAGCAATTTTCATTTTGTGTTGTGCGATTTTCTTTCTCAATCTCAAAATCATTTAGCAACATCAGTATCATATGAAACCCCCTTTATCATAAGAGCGTAAGACTTTTCTTCTGTGATTCACTTGGCCTACGCCTTGCCATAAAATATTTTGAATAGATGTCTGTATATTTTGGTTACATCGATTTTGAAATCGATACACAACGTGCGACACGGCTACATCTCTAAGAAAGTTTCAAAAAGAAAGGTCAGCTACGCCGTTGTCGTCCAGTCGTGACAGTGACGTCATCACGATGGAGAGTAGTGTTGTGGTTTACTACTATTTTATTGTTATTGTTTCTTTTTTTATTTATGTACAAAGTACATATATAAAAAGAGTGGAAGACAGCACAAGATTAAATAAAGCATACCCGATTATAAAGACTCATTTATTATATAAAAAACCAACAAAAACAAGTTATTTTGTGTTATCGATATATCAACTCTTGGCAGCACTGTTTTTTTCGTAGGTATTTTTGTTTACTTTTCGCTTTGGCGTACAGGACACGGTAGTGAGTTTTTGGCGTGGCGCTCAAAAGGTTAAGCATAGAATAAATCAGCACCATCTCTTTAATGCTCGTGAACTACCACGGAACCAGTGTTTTTACTTATGATTTTGGTTTTATCCTAGAACTTTTAGAAATACTCCCTAGCTTATTGTAAAAAAAAATCAAAATAGCCTTATTTATTGCACCTAATTTTCAATATTTTAAAGAACATCATTGCAAGATTTGAATATCATTTCACGATTAAAAATCTTGAGTTTTGTGATGAAGAAGACAGTAGCGCATCATTTTCAAATTATAATAGCACTTAGTCTCATATGAATAACGAATATGTAACTAAGTAAAAATATATCATTGTTCTATTCTATTTATTAAAGAAAACTTTTTCATTCTACTTTTCTGGCTCTTTTGACCCTATCCCCTTCGTTAAATCTTTAAAAAAATATATATTGGGTGGGAATAAAAATCAGGGTTCATCAATGAAGTTCGGTTTTACTCCAAATTATCCAAAACCCCGAAAACTTGAAGAAACGCCTAAAGCCGTACCTATATTAGTAAATTTACCCTAAAATAGAGCAAAATATCTAAAAGTGGAAACACTGCACAGACGCACGGCACGCATTGGTGCTCCATAAACATTTTAGCACCAATGAGTCGGTGCCATTTTGTTTGTTCAATGACCCTGTCCATACGCAGTAGTATAATAATTCTATGAAGTGAAACGCTACAGTGAAAACTAATTTATCAAGACAGGCGTACAGAAGTTAATATTTGTTTTATACAATGAATAAATAACAATACATTTATACGAGTGTGCTCTACATTATTTAATTGGGGCGTTTGGCAGAAAAAAGCGCTAGCAAGCGCTTACAAGCGCTGAAATAGTTTTCGGCCAGGACACGATTCCTACTTCAGTAGCGCTGACCGCTGACACAATCCGCCATTTTGCTTATTTAATTTGTTTGTTTTGAAGTAGAGTTTATAAGTTGTTTTGTGCAATATTAGTTTTAAGTAATATAATGACATGAATAAACATATACATGCTATTAAAAACACATGATTGGTAAGTTTTTAGTATGAATACTTTATAAACATATATTTAAATTAGGTTAGATTCCCCGGTTAAAACTAACATCGTGTCCTGGAGGAAAATAGCTACTTACGATTTGACAGCGCTACCGCTTACGATCGCCATTTTGCTTACAAGCGCTTGCTAGCGCTTTTTTCTGCCAAACGCACCCATTATCTCATTGTATCCACCAACCGTGAACAGTAGTGGCGGTGTAAGAATATCCACTACCCCGTATCGTCCAGTGGGTGTCGAACGAGGCGACAGAGGTAATTGAACCACGAGATGAACTACACCGTCTTCCTAATAACATCTAAGAAAATAACGTGTTTACCAACCCGCCGGCCAGACGTGGCACCTTTTTTTGCGCCCGAAGCAAATATGGGCAACTCTCCGGAAAGCGGGGGAGGGAAGCGGTGAATGCTCATAGCATACCACGCAGCCGGCTGCGTGGTTATGTGGAGAACTTTTACCCATTAAACACCGCCTTTATGGATTGGCTTCCCGATCTGACGAAAGATCTCTAAGCCGTATACGAACGCGACCCTCCTTGGCAGAAAGGAGGGCGCAGCGTGGCACCTATGGCCTAAGTTCAGCAATGGACTTTTATGGGATGTAATGGATGGATGACTGCAGCAAATCCCTGTTGAATACAGGAACTCGAAGATGCGAAAGCATCTACTAATTTTATTTTTGTATATATATGTATACCTATAAAATTTAATCTTATAGTAAAGTTAGTGTAGTTTTGCCGGTACGGAGCTGTCACTCTAGAACCTTTCCTCTCTATCGGTTTATTGTACTACAGCTGGTGTACTGTCATTTAATTTTAATGGAGGATTTTAGGCTGCCACTTCCACCTCACTGAATACCTGATAAGCCATGTAGAAAGTCGATGGATACAGGTGGATGAGGTCCGTGCAATAATGTCATATTTTTTCATTTTTTTTTGTCTATGTTCACCTGTAGACTAGTAAAAGGCTGTAAAGATGACGATTAATGATGAATTTTTATTTATTTCTGTTGTTGAATACCACTCTTACTATTATGTACCGGTCTGAAGAGAGTTATAGACCTTGAAATATTCCATCTTCATGATCAGATATTGCAAGCTAATAAATGGCAGTGCATCCTATTCATATTTGTTTAAGTTACAGGTACCCTTTGAGCTTCAATAGCATAATTACCATTAGGTGACTAGAAGCTTGTTTCTTTCAAGATAATGTTGTAAAAAATATGTATTTTACTTTCAGATTACAAAGGATGGTATAAGAGACGTCAATTAAAACAACATGGAGAACATATGTAGTTTTATTAATCAATGTACATATTGTAAACAAAACTACAGCACCAATAAATATATCATTTTCACAAAATATCAAGCTTTTGTTTCAAGAACATCTCAACAGTAATACAAATATAAAGGCAGTTTCAAATCGGAACATAGCTCATCGCTAGTGCAATAATTCTTTAAAATACTCTGTAGTCTTATATTATGCGTTTTCTTAGGAAACGAGAGTGAGTAACACGCGTTTGTAGTCTCCTTTCGTGTCATCCTGCAAGATATTACATCGAATTTTGTAACAGTATCCAACATTGGAAGAACATGCAAAGCTAACGTATAATAACGACTGCGTTTACAAAAGATAATTCTATTTTGCAGGATTAAGCACAAAGTGTGACTAGCACATTCCTGAAGTCACCCGTTAGGTCTTCCTGTAAACAAATATCGAAAATACCAATGCTGTAACGTTAGCAAAAAAATACACACAGAAACTGGCCCATAATTTCTTTCTTATATCATAACATGCATGAGATTAAAAATGAATACAACGATTTCTTATCATATTAATAAAAATAATTTATTTATTATAAAATATTTGAAATGCAGTAAACAGTGGTACCCATTGAAGTAAACTATAGGGCGACAGATAATATATTATTATGATTATTTTTCTTATCACTCGGTAGAGTGTTTAATAGATCTTGAAGAATTAGTAAGCCATTGTAGATAGGAGATCGCCGAGTGGGCCTCCTACCTCCTCCTGAAAAAATGGCAACAACTACTTGTAAAGCGAACCAAACACACTAGGTTCACCATATCCCATGCTCTCACAAAATAAAGCTGTTAGCTACAGTGCAAAGAAAGTGACAATGACTGTGAGAAAATAAAAAGCAAAATATACAGATCTTTGTGAACAAAATTTACACCCGGCATGGATATCCTATTTGAACACCACATATAAAAATTAAGTATTATAAGATAGTTTGAATGATTTATATACAATGTTCATATAGGTATCCTAAATTGACTTAAAAACCTATCAATTGACAAAAATAACTTAGGAAAGTATAAAGTAGGTAACGCTACGCTGTTATCCTGACTCTTGAGCCCATAATTATTCAACAATTGCCAACAAAGCCTTCTTGTAATCCCCGGATGTGTCGTCCTGCAAGCAAAATTTTTCACGATTCTAATGATCACTTATTTCATACTCAGTCTCAACAAATCTCTTATTTAAAAATAATTTTATTAATACTTCGGAAGTAACAAAATTATTAGGAAAAGAAATGGCACTTATTAAAAAGGAACATAGGTTATTCACATTTTCTTATATACATTCAAGATCCTTTAGCAACGAAATTTCTAAACCTTACTCTTATAATATAGTCGATGAGATCTGTATAATCTGTGTTAAGAATTATTAAAGAATATGATATAGGATAAGTGTGTAATATTTATCTATTCGCGACAGTATTACATCTCATGCTAAATATATTTTAATATAAGAAAAATTTAAGTATATATCGAAATAATGGGTCAGCTTCTGAATAGTTTATGCATAACATTCAAATTTAATATCCATGCTATTAGATGCCTATTACGTCTTTTTTATATTCTAAATATAAATAGATGTAAATTGTTTTAAATTGAGAAACACAAATTTATTATGCAACATAGAATAATATTAGATATGGTAAATGAGTGTTAGTAAGTAAAATTATTAATGAATGTACCGTAACTGCTAATGAAATATTTTATATACATTATGAAAATTGATTATGTAATAGTAAATAAGAGTTTACGAGTGAAACCAAGTAAACAGTGCCAAATCACAAATGCTAAAAATACAAAAGCATGGTTATTTTTGGGTTATGTAATGCCAGTATCAGCGATGGAGATAGTAATACTTACAGCAATCCAACTCTCGAGAGTCTTTCCATATTTATCAAGGAACGCTTGCTTGATGTCTCCAAGGTCGATTTCGGAACGGCTGACGATGATTCTGATCAAAGTCTTGTCGTTGGTTCCCAGTCCCTTCATTGAATAGTAGAGGCGTTCAGCGAAGAAGCCAACCTTGCTCTTAACGCATTTAACTAAAACAAAATATTAATTAGGTACCTCGACTTGTATCATGATTCATGACCTCATATTTTTGAAAGATTAGTGGAACCGGTTCACAAAGTTTCTGTAGGGTGAAACTTGGTGAAATTAACATGCCTGTTTATCTTTTAGTGATTTTGAGTCTGTATCACATTAAAATTTGAATATTATTAAAATGCATTATCTTAAATACCTACAAGCGTTAGGGGTTTAAATGTATAAAAAAAACGAAATTCAAAGAAAATTTCAATTTTTAGGGTCTATTTAATGCTTTATAAAGCGCCATTATAAAAATGTAGTAATAATGAGTACTTATTATTTTTTTTTATTTACCATATTCCAAAGAGTTTTAAAATTTATGTCCCCAATAGTATCGCTCAGAAAAATCTGTATAATCTCCAAGACAACGAAGATTGAAGGAAAATCAAACTGACTACAATGGGTGCGTTTGGCAGAAAAAAGCGCTAGCAAGCGCTTATAAGCGCTAAAATAGTTTTCGGCCAGGACACGATTGCTACTTCAGTAGCGCTGACACAATCCGCCATTTTGCTTATTTAATTTGTTTGTTTTGAAGTAGAGTTTATAAGTTGTTTTGTGCAATATTAGTTTTAAGTAATATAATGACATGAATAAACATATACATGCTATTAAAAACTCATGATTGGTAAGTTTTTAATATGAATACTTTACAAACATATATTTAAATTAGGTTAGATTCCCCGGTTAAAACTAACATCGTGTCCTGGAGGAAAATAGCTACTTACGATTTGACAGCGCTTACCGCTTACGATCGCCATTTTGCTTACAAGCGCTTGCTAGCGCTTTTTTCTGCCAAACGCACCCATTATGTATTGGCGGGGTAAAAGAGTCCTGAATTTATACGTGGTAGAGTCATACTGCAGTTATATTAGTAGTATAGTTGTAGCACGAATGGGTCGGCTCGACTGGGGAAGGACCACGCTTTCACAGAATACCAGCGTAAAATACTAGCTTAATACTGCTGTGTTTCGTATGGTGAGTGTAGAGAACCAGATACCCGCTTTACTGGAAACGAGGCATTCCATCTTAGTCCTCACGGGTGACAACGCATCTGCATTTTGATTCGTAATCGAGGATAGAAGTAGATGACTATGGGTCGCAGCAACCACCACCACTTACCTTCAGGTGGACTGTGTGCTCGTTTGTCACCCTATCCTATAAAAAAAAGAATCTATAATCTAGATTTTAGTTCAGGTGTCGTAATAGGCAATTTCGGAAAATGCCATTAACATCAGCTTTCAATAGATGGCATAATAACAATCTTTGTTTACGCCAGGCGTAATTTTTTTTTTTTTATAGAAGAAGGGGCAAACGAGCATGCGGCTCACCTGATGTTAAGTGACTACCGCCGCCCATGATCAACCGCAACACCAGGAGAATTGCGGATGCGTTGCCGGCCCTTTAGAAAGGAGTAAGCTCTTTTCTTGAAGGTCCCCAGGTCGTATCGGTCCGGAAAAATCGCCGGTGGTAAACTATTCCACAGAGAGGTTGTACGTGGAAGAAAACTCCTTGTGAAACGTACAGTGGTGGACCGCCAAGCATCCAGATGGTGTGGATGGTATCGGGACGTTTGACGTGTAGTGCGTTCACGAAATTTGGCGGCTGGGATTAATCCGAACAATTCCTCAGAGCACTCCCCGTGATAGATGCGATAAAATACGCAAAGAGATGCAACATCTCTTCGCAGCGCCAGTGAATCGAGCCGATCGGAAAGCACTCGGTCGTCGACGATTCGAGCCGCTCTGCGCTGGATGCGGTCAAGTGGAAGAAGCTGGTACTGGGGAGCCCCAGCCCAGAGATGGGAACAGTATTCCATGTGCGGCCGAACCTGCGCCTTATAAAGTTGCAGGCGGTGTGCCGGCATGAAATACTGTCCCGCTCTGCTGAGCACGCCAAGCTTTTTTAGAGGCCAATTTGGCCTTCCCTTCCAAGTGACCACGAAACTGCACGTCACTCGATATGTCGACGCCGAGGATTCCGATACTGGCCGAGGCAACAAGTAGAGTGCCTTGAAACTGAGGGGATACGACAAAGGGGTTCTTTTTAGCGGTTAACGCGCAAACTTGTGTCTTCTGGGGGTTAAACTGGACTAGATTTAGTCGCCCCCAATCCGAGACTCTGTCCAGCAGAGACTCGACTTCAGACACAAGTTTGTAGGCGTAAAATACCCAGACTAGTTATAGGGAGCAGTGTCCTGCAACGGGAGGAGTCGTCTTTGAGTATTAAACCAATGGTTGGTTGAATACTCAAAGGCAACAGTGGCCTAATGATGATTACGAAGAAGAAACATTTTTTTCTGCAAAAACATTTGTATTTTGTGAAATATCTAGAGCGAAAATTTAAATAGAAAGTGGTAAAACTAAAAAATTTGTACAACCAAATTCAATATAAATTAATGAGAACACCATCAATGTAGTCGAAGTCAAATAAATACGCATTATTAAGGATAACTCAAAAACTTCTGGTCAGATCTTGATCAAATTAATATTGGACCACATGAGAAGCACCAGCTTTCAAATGAAAAAAAGAATCATCAAAAACAGTTCATCTATAAAAAAAGTTCTGATGTAACACACATAAAAATATACAGTAAAATTGAGAACTTCCCCCTTATTTTGAAGTAGGTTGAAAATTGCGGATCTAACGATATTAAGATTGACTGCAAGCACCACTAGGTGTGCAAAATGTACAGCAGGTACGTTATATTATGATCGATATTTATTTCTTAGTTAAGTACGCAAAATTCTCGTCAACTTACTCCTTATCGACGCGCACGCGATAATGAGGCCGTTGTACATTATTAGGAATTTCGATAGTGCCTATTCAAACGTTTATTGGCTATTTATTGGGTGCGTTTGGCAGAAAAAAGCGCTAGCAAGCGCTTGTAAGCAAAATGGCGATCGTAAGCAGTAAGCGCTGTCAAATCGTAAGTAGCTATTTTCCTCTAGGACACGAAGTTAGTTTTAACCGGGGAACCTAACCTAATTTAAATATATGTTTGTAAAGTATTCATATTAAAAACTTACCAATCATGAATTGTTAATAACATGTATATGTTTATTCATGTTTTTTCATATTACTTTAAAACTAATATTGCACAAAACAACTTATACACTCTACTTCAAAACAAACAAATTAAATAAGCAAAATGGCGGATTGTGTCAGCGCTACTGAAGTTAGCAAACGTGTCCTGACCGAAGACTGTTTAGTTTCGCCATTTTGCTTACAAGCGCTTGCTAGCGCTTTTTTCTGCCAAACGCACCCAATAACTAAAGGCTTGAAAACTTTTGTCATCCTAGAATTATGTCAGTTTTGCATCTCTGTGCCTCGAAGGCGCGTAAAGCCGTTGGTCCTGCGCCTGATCTGCAGTCTTGTAGGAGTGCCGTCTCATCTGACTATGAGAGTGAGGGAATAGAGAGTGCGATGCACCTGTGCTTGCACATAAACGTTTTCACTAAATCCTTTCCAACGAACAAAGTTTCCGTTGAGACCGGTTAATTATTTAAATTATTTTCGAGTTGTTATTAGGAAGATTCTACTGCCCGAATACCAGATCCGTCAACTATGGAATTGCAATGTCTTATGAAGCAACCTATGGGGAATGCCTGGTAATGACTGCATGAATAAAATAATAAAAAAATATAACCTCAAATGGCTTAGCAAGATCCTCCGTTATGCAGAAAATATTGCAGCATTAATTTTGAAATAAATATATGGTAAAGTTCAGGATTAATGTTAAGGACTATGTTAGACGAAAACATGATTCCGTAAAATTTTCTCGATAGAAAAAATATCCAAAGTTACCTCAAAAATAAACAATAAACCGCTGTTATTCGTAAAGTATTTTAAATAAGATCATGAAACTTTGCATACTAACTGAACTAACTATAAAGTAGTGCTTATGTTATTTACTTTTTTTAAATACCATTATTTTCACTGTAAAAAGAAATTACCTAAACTATCGGCATCTTGAAGCTTGATTCCTGCCGCCCGGTCAGTTTCGCTCCGGCCTTTGAAGGGGGAGGTTGTGTCGCTTACGATCAGAATACACATTACGCAACAGGACGACGTAAAATTAAAATGGGAAATAACCGTAATAAAAATAAGAAGCGACTGGTTGGCGTTAAGAAACAGGCATAAATATGATAAACCTAATGAAATAAGTATCTAACGACCTATCTACTTACAGTATTAGTGATTACAAACATGTCGGTACATAGCATACGACGCGCGGGGAAGTGGGGGCGAAATTAGAATTTGAGCTGACTTACTATATCCCCTTAATTACTGAAATTGAATTAGGTAGATGACTAGAGGTCGTAACATGCATGTAATATTGTAGTTCTAAAAAAAGTAAGTACAAGGTCGATAACACAACACTTCCTGCTATGCGCACAGATTAGGTACATGACCTTGGTGCTAACGTTAAAAACGCACGTATTACGGGGTTTAGATAAAACGATGTAATTATGCATTGATAACAAACGAAATGTTATAATTTTTGTTAGTATAAAACTTTAATAAATTTATTCGTTAACCTTTATTATGATCGATGTTTAAGTCATTATGGTAATGATATTAACCTGAGACAAATATATGACTAGAAAATTCAAAAAAAAATCAAAGCGTGTGTAATAATTATCTACTTATGGAAATTCACGTTTTCTGTGATTACCTCATGGCTTGTTTTCTTAAAAATTATTCTAAAAATAAATTTCCTTGGAACTAAACTTACCGATAGCTAGCATGCCCTTTTCGATGCTTCCAGAGAATTCCTTCTTGATTGTCTCCTCAACATCTTTTCCGGTCAACGCCTCGTACTCGGCGAAGATCTGTAACAATATATTTAATAATTTATTTTTAACTTGTACGCCAGACGATATCAGGAACAATTGAATTCCGCTATCCGAGGTCATCCTCAACAAGCTCTTGAATTCACTCTTGAGTCACTACGTGCGTATGAATTTAGAACTCATTATCGATGATGGCCTGAGGCGATGAATCATAATTTAAACAAGTCTTAGGTCACCTCAAGTAAGTGATTTTTTTATAAATTTTATATCAATTTTTTTATATATGCCTACCTTCATTGCCATCCGATTCTGAGCTATGTTCAAAGGTTTAAGTTTCTACTTCATAGGGAAGTGCTCGAAATTTGAATTTCATGATTCCACCCGGAATGAAAGATAGACAAACGATAAAGTGACTTAACAACAACGTCTGGTGTAATTTAAACTGTATAACAACAGTGGGGAAACATAATCGTCTTCAGGACACCCATATAAAATACCAAGTCAGGATAAAATGGGGTGGAGGAAATATAGGAGGAAATATATATATACACTAGCTTGCCAGGCAGACGTTGTTCTGCCCTTTACGACGACAATTTGCCATGTCCTATTAAAAATCCTTAAATTCGCAAAAAAATTGTGGAAAAAAACCATCCTATCTCTCAAGTTGGACCAAACTTCACACGGTGTGCAAATTTGATTAAAATCGGTTAAGTAGTTTAGGAGTCCATCGCAGACAAACAACGTGACACGTAAAAAAAAAAAAATATATATATATATATATATATATATATATATATATATATATATATATATATATATTAGACATACATAAGCAAAATAAAATATAACCCCTAATTTTTATATGCACCTTTATACAAAAAAAAAATTATAGGACAGGTCGACAAACAAGCACTCAGTCCACCTGATGGTAAGTGGTTGCTGTGGCTCATAGACATCTATAATCTACATCTATCCTCAATTACGAATTTTGTACAATTATTTAATATAGTGCATTGGGGTAAGATCGGTGATGGGGTAAGACCGTAAAATTCAAATTTCCGGTCAATTATGCTATATTTTTGAAAGCTAGCAATATGGTACAAGACTTCATTTTATTCTGCCCCGACCCCAAGTTTCAGCCAGTCGCTCCGAAAAGTAGGGCGTGTGCTGCGCAGTATTTTATAAAACAAGGTAATTTTTGAATTTTTTCGTCTGTCCGGTCTTTCCCTATCACTTTTATTTGCAATTTTTAGCGACGTGCGGTCTTCCCCTTGATGGGCAATTCTTCATCATGCATATAAAAAATTATGCCTTGTCTTCGCACACGTTTTAAGCAGAAACTGGTGAGTTTTGAAAAGTAAAAGCTTCTTATAGCTAAATTACGTGCAACCATTAACGATTTGCGCCATGTTTCAGAAATCTGACGTATATGGATGTCGAGAAAATAAAGTTTTTGCCAGACTCTTTTAACTAGTCGAAAATCCGTCCGGTATTGCCCCAACGCACCTTTATATATAAACCAATTTAAAGCTCAGCTCTGCTAAATTGTCAAGTAAATTGTCCTGTTGCATGTAATTTTAAGACATTTCCATTTCCAACAGAAGGCCAGTCTAATTGCATATTAACTCAAGTCACTATATGCTTATATCACGATTATTTATATGCTAACTATAAATAACCGTAACATAAGCAGTGACAACCTATAGCGTCATCGGTTTTAATGAACAATGTTCAATACAAGTGCAGTTCAAGACTGACACGTAATGGCACAAATACGGTGCTGGCGCGTTACCCATGATTGATTGATATGTTAATATAGTCAAAGACGAAAATAGTCGTATATCCTAGTAGTATATGCCGAGTATAAAAAATTATTAGGAATTTTTCAAGAAATATCTTTGAATTGTCAACGGTACACTGATGTTGTTCATCGTCACAATAAAGATCCAAAACATCGTATGTGTAGGTATATTTTAATTTTTTGTGTGTTTGTTAAATATCGCTGGAGAGTTTTGTGGAGAGTTTGACAATAGTAGATGTAGACATTGTATTGTAAATTAATTAAAATTTGTTCTAGGGAGAAAACAGAGAATATACGTTTTAATAGACTAAACGCCACAAGAATATTCTCTTAACTATTAAACAATATTATTAAATAGTAATTTCGAGTTCGTAGACTTCAGTTAGTGTTTTTAACTAGATTACAAGGAGCCAATTATAACCGAAGACCAAAGCGACATTGATGTAAAAGTACATATTTAGAAAGTTCTATATTTATAATTAGATATAACTCACCTGTCTTAATTGCTGGTATGAGCGTGTGATAAGGATGGAGTTGAATACGGACTCGTCAGTGCCCCACTGACCCTCCCCGGCGTTCGCCAATGCCTCGGCGTCGGCCTTCGCCGCGGCCTCGTCAACGCCCTGGTTTTCGTCACGGTTAGCCATGCACAGTGACACGCATAGACGCTTGAAGTGCCCCGAGGTGTCACCTTTTAAGTCTGATTCTAGGCTTTTGCCATACACTGTAATAAAAGAATTATGATAATATGTTGTCGGACATAATGGCATTACAATGTTCAGAGTAATATAAATATCGCTACGAAGTAGAGGAAAAGGACATATATATAACGTATAACATTCAGTTTATTTTACTTTGTAATATTTAAATTCCCAGAAATTTTAATAATATATCTTTATTAAATATTATAAAAATAGTGGAAGACTTGAGGTTTAGGATTTTTATAATAACTATAGCCGCAAATAATTAAAAATTTTCACTGTAACTTTAAAACTTTTAATGTAAAATATTCTAATACGATACTTCGGAAATATTTCACAATATTACACTTCATAGCAGGCGGTTTTTGAATATCTACTACCCCATATCGTCCCGTGTAGTAAGCGGCGACAGAGGAAAATAAACAAGGAAATTGGCAGCAGCATCTTCCTAATAACTGCTAAAAAAACTGCGGTTGCCAACCTGCCTGCCAAGCTTGGCCACTATGGCAAATATTCTCCCTATGAATCGATCAATGGGGGAGGCCTAATTTCATCGGTGAACTTTTATAGGCTATAACGGATGAAAATATCTTCGAAAAGCTTAGTGGCTCGATTTTCCTATTGCAAGAATGATGATTGACAATATATTTTGAAAAGCACTTACAAATTCCCTAAAAATCAAGAGCGATTTTAGGTCTCTCCAACTTTTTAAAAAATCAGGTAGGTAAACAGAACTTATATGGGGTAAAATAACACGAGGAATATCAGGTAATAACTGTGACGTCAAAATCATACTGGTAAAATTTATGATAGCGATAAAAGGGAAATGTTAATTATTTAATCTCAATTTCTAAATTACGATACTAAATATTTTGGATATAAGATATGCATAGAGCTACATGTAAGTCTAATTAGGTACTTGTGCTGAGTATCAGAATAAATAACTAAATAAACAATCAAACATTACTTCGCACACTCCTAACAATTTCATGTGCGTGCGATTCATCTTTCTTTTTCCCATATTCTACATAGTATTTGTGCGCATACAATAGGTACTTGCATACCGAGACCGACCGGTCGCTGAAGGACATTTTTCAATTTGTACTTGCAATGAATACAGTTAGATACGTGAGCCCTTGTAAATGCTCCGAACAGTTACCAAGCATTATGAACCTTTTTATATGTACTGTAGGTATAAACATGATATTGTGCATTACAGAAAACAACCATAAATTTAATATTAATTAAAAATATAATAAGTTATAAGAATAAAGAGTTATGACCCTCATCAACATCAACCCGTCTATGCGATAAGTAACTGCGATTATTGAACTCGTATTATAAAAACGCCCATTAAAAGACCATATTTATGAAGTTAGTAATCAAGGGCATTTGCCTATTTATATTTTAAAAATAACGTTATGATTTAGGGGTTAATATTAGGTAAAACCACAGATCAAATAATGTTACTACGTAAGTAAAGCACCTAGGAGATTCGGTAATAATCTAAAAAAATCACAAAATAAATTATAATAACTAACTAACTGACCTAAACTAACCATGAAGATAGAGTATTAATACCAAAAATAGTTATTGCAACCTAGTGCGATGTATTTTGTAGGGTGATGTAAGTACTTTGAAATACTTATAATTTACATTTCAAAAGGTGTTTTCAATACACTCTCCTTTATTTTAAAACAACTGTTCTAAAATAAAGGACATCATCTTTAACCTAATTTATAAATTATAACCTTGACCATATTTCGTTCGAAATCTATAGCGGGTGGATGCTATTATATACTACGCTAATAATATAATATATAAGTTAATGTTTATAGTAATATATAAGTATTAATAGTAATATATAAGTTAATGTTATATACATGCACAGTTGACTTGACTGCCTCGTTGGTCTAGTGGTTGTAGTAGTGCGACTGCAGATCATGAGGTGGTCCTGGGTTCGAATCCCGGGTCGGGACAAAAATCAATTATTGCCGTTAGTCCTGCGCCTGATCTCTCTCCAGTCGTGTCGGTTTACCGTCCAATCGAATTATGAGAGTGAGGGAATAGAGAGTGCACCTGTGCTTGCGCATACACTTGGGCACTATACTCGTAATACTGTCCTGCGCCGATAGCTAGTCTCCATTGAGGCAGGCCGCCGTGGCCGAAATTCGGTCTGGAGGACATTATTATTATTATTTCGTTCGAAATCTATAGCGGGTGAATGCTATTATATACATGCACAGTTTATATAACACACGTTATTGCTAAGGTTAACGTAGTATTGATCTAGGGGGCTCTATTGGGTTCTAAGATTATGGACTAGACTAACACTCACTACTAACGAACGGACTGTACATTATTGGTTGCATCGTCGTCTTAAATTATGGGTTTTTAAAAATGTAAGTGTCAAACAATATTAGATCATTTGCGGCAAATCGGTAAAAAAAGATGCTTGATAAATTGGTATTTTACGAACTTCTTGCCATATAGTGCCACAGTTGTTGCTGACCGTTGACAATTGACAATAGACTAATGTTGGTGGAGAAGCTTGCACTCGAAAAAACCAGATTTCTCCAAACGCCCGGCCACATACTGCACGACAAACGGCAAAAATTAGTAGACCTGAAGCTATAGACCATTCCTCATCTACCATATTATTCTCAATACCTTGCCCCAACAGATTTCCACTTTTTCCTAAGTTTAAATAACTTCGATGTATAGAACTCATTGATTCTAGAGCAGGAGACATTTATAGCAAAAGCATCCACAAATTAATCACAAATTGGAAAGACTGTATTATGTAATGGTTCGAGAAAATTCCCAAAAAAGAAATTAATATCTTTTTCCCTTACGAAATAGCATTTTCATAGTAAACCTGATATAAGACACATTCATCTATAGTCTAAGAACTCATGAATTTCTACTACTGTTTTCTTAAATGTCCTTAGCTATAATTATATGAAAATATACATAACATAACATAAACACTCACGCCTGTCACCCAGAGGGGTAGGCAGAGACTACGGACTTCCATTTGGCACGATCCTGACATACCTCTTTCGCATCCTTTACATCCATATATCTACGCATACATGCTTATGGTTAATGTTACTTCTAACGTGGCGCATTTTCAAAATATCGCCAATTTGGTCGATAAACTTTTTTCTAGGGCGTCCCTTCCCGACTCGGCCGTTCACATCTGCCATATAAATTTGCTTTGTCACTCTTTCCTCATTCATTGTTTCTACATGACCAAACCACCGAAGCATTCCTTTCTTAATCCTGGTCACAACATCATCTTGCATACCACATTTATCTCTTATCACGCAATTTCTCACCCTGTCATTCAGATTCAACCCTAGCATACTCCTTAAAGACCGCATTTCTACAGCATTTATTCTACTTTCGTGCTTCTTCTGCCACACCCAGCTTTCACTACCATACATTAAAGTAGGGACTAACACAGCATTATGAATTACCATACGTGCCTTTTTGACACATTCTGGTTCTTCACAATAGAGTGTAGTGCCCCATTCACTCTATTCCCTGCATTTACTCGTCGTTCTATATCCCTATCATATCTACCATCCCTGCTAAATACACATCCCAAATACAAAAACTCATCCACTTGCTCAATTAACTCTCCTTCTATTCTTATTTCACATACCGTTTGCTTTCTTCTCTTTCAAAAACCATCACTTTCGTCTTACTTGCGTTCACTTTCATTCCCCTTTCTTTTAATTCCCAGTTCATTAATGTAACCATCATTTGCAACTCAGCCGCCTATGACGCAAATATGACTTGATCATCGGCATACAAAAGGTATTTGACGGTTAACTCGCCCATTCTTAGCCCACATTCTTCATCTTTCAAAGTTTGCAAACACCTGTCCATAAATAGGAAGCCAAGCAACAACAGCCAAGGGAAGCTACACAGCCCTGTCTGACACCTTTTTGGATGCCAAACCAGTCCGAGTAGACCCCATTGATCCTGACACAAGCACTAGAGTCCCTATAAAGAGACCTTAATGCCCGTATCAAACCAGCGCTCAACCCATATGAGTTCAGTGTTTGCCATAACACATTCCTGTCCACTCTGTCATAAGCCTTTTCCAAGTCCATGAACGCACAAAAAACTTTCTGGTTTTTGGCCAAAAACTTCTCCGCAATCATGCGCATGGAAAAGACTTCATCTGTACACCCCATTCCCTTTCTAAAACCCGCTTGCACATCCCAAATTTTTCCATCAGTTTCTTTCATAGCTCTTTCAATTAACACCTTAGCATACAGTTTACCCACAATACTAAGCAAGCTGATTCCACGGTTTTTGCAGTCCTGCTGTGACCCTTTTCCTTTATATATTGGTACTATAACTGCTTTACACCAATCATCCGGTACCCGTTTTAATTCCCAACATAAATTAAACAAGTTGTACAGCAGGCATGCCACCACTCCCTCTCCAGCCCTTAGCATCTCGAGTGATACTCTATCATATCCAGCTGCCTTACCTGCTTTCATGCTTTTCATTGCTTTCATTATTTCATCTACACTTATCTCCATACCCCTTTCCACTTCTTTCGGAATTTCTAGTTCATTTAATTCAGACGACTCTTCACTCATAAACACGCTTTCAAAGTATTCCTTCCATCTGTTTAAATTCGAAGCTTCATCATTCAGAATACATCCATTCTCGTCTCTTATAGCATTCATTAGAGGCTGTTTTGTATTTCCCCTGGCAGTTCCTTCGAGTTTCTTCCTAAGAGATTCTTCGCACCCCTGCCCCATTGAAGGGGCGCCGGGAACTCGGGGCCATTTCTCATATATGAAAATTTTCATATATGAAAATGTCTTATAAAACTAAGCAAAGAATTGCCAGGAGCAGATTGAATATGAACGTTACTGGAAATTCAATGAGCGATGCGATCAATTTCTAAATTATTAACTCGGGCGGGCGCTGCTTGTAATTGTAACGGTTTAACATAAATCGTGTTATAAGTCTACTTGAGGCAAATACGATAAATAATCTGATGTATCCGTGGTAGCAATGTATTCAATTGCATTCTATTCATGCCGTAGGTCGGTACTGCGTCGTCTTCAGCGTTTGGCGCAATAAATACATATCTACTATGTGCATTGTGCAACTTATGTATGTAATTGCCTCAACGGTACAGGGGAACTTAACGTAAAAATTTTCTAGTATTTAACGTTACCTTTTATTTGTAGTTTGAAGTGGCTTCTTACAACAGCCATGGGACCTAATGGGGAATGGGGCTTTGGATTGACTTACACCACAAGCACCTGGCGTTATAGAAATTCGTAGAAATGTATTGAGAAATCACAGAAATACATAGGCTGCACTAAAAGTATCGGGAATGGAATATTTCCACTGTTCCTGTCATATTAAAATCTTTTTAATAGAAAACTCCTTGGTTTTCAAAATCGAATACCATTTATTTATTTAAAAAAAGATTCTCGGTCTTGTCACAAGGTTTTGTCAAACTTGTTTAGTCGTTGAGAAAATGGAATTGACTCAAGAAAATTCAAGAGCGATGATTTATTACGACTTTCGAAGTGGTTAAACACTGATTTCTGCATTTGGTGATGAAGCCCCATCCAAAACCACAATTTATCGCTGGTTTGCTGAATTTCAACGTGGACGTGTCAAGCTCAGTGATGACCCCGTCAAGGTCGTCAAAAAACTGCAGTCACCCAAGAAAACGTTGATGCTGTGCGTAAGCTGATTGACGATGGTCGACATGTGACATAACGCGAAATTCAGGCAACTTTAGACGTTGGCATGAGTCAAATACAAATAATCATGCATGAACAATTAGGTGTAAAAAAGTTGTTTTCCCGATGGATACCGCATTCGCTCTGTGAAGAGCAAAAAGCGGCTCGCGTTACTTGGTGCGTCAGAAACCCGAAACAAAAAACCAGTCACGAGTTTGGGTGTTCGAAAATGAGTTAAAGCCAACAAAAATTGTTCGTTCACGGAGTGTAGCAAAAAAAATGGTGGCCACGTTTGTCTCCAAAACCGGCCATGTTACGACTATTCCTTTTGAGGGACAAAGAACGGTTAATGCAGAATGGTATGCTAGCATTTATTTGCCACAGGTCGTTTCTGAACTCCGTAAAGAGAACTGCCACCGCCGAATCATCCTCCATCACGATAATGCGAGTTCTCACACGCACACAGAACAAAAGAGTTTTTAGAGCAAGAAAACATAGAATTATTAGACCATCCGCCGTACAGCCCCGACCTAAGCCCTAATGATTTCTATACTTTCCCTAAAATAAAGAATAAATTGCGTGGACAGAGATTTTCAACACCTGAAGAAGCTGTGGACGTCTACAAAACGGCCATTTTGTAGACCGCAACTTCCGAATGGAATGGTTGCTTCAATGATTGGTTCCATCGTATGGAAAAATGTGTCAAATTTCGCGGAGAATACTTCGAAAAGCAATAAATACATTTTTAAATAGTAATGTTGTGTCAGTTCCTTGATTCCCAAAATTTTCAGTGCCGCCCTCGTAGACAAACACAACGGTACAAGCTTACAGCACCATAATGTAACAGACAAAATCTAGGTTAAGGTATTTCTTAAAAAATATAACATAGGTATAGTAGCGATACGCCCCGGCTTCGCACGGGTGATTTCTGGATCTCGAGAAAAGCGCCACCTACCGGGTTCAAATGTAAAAAATCTAAACCATCTAGGGACCCATTCAAACACACAAAACGGTCGAACCGTTATTGAGTTGAGAATGGACAGCAATTGATTTTTATACTTAAGATATAAAGTTTGATTTGTTGAATTTCATACCCGTACATCTCGTACTTTATTTAGGATTCAGATATAAAAACATGGACATATACATGGATGGTTCTATAAATTAATTAAATAGTCACGTTTACATTAAAAACTTGCAACGCATTGTTCAAATTGTAATCTTATCAAATTAAATAGCAACGTAAATGCTTGTTTTAAAATTTCTAATAATTATATTATGAAATTGTAAATTTCAACGTTTTGCTTTCGCAAGCACGAAAATCACGTTAATACATTTCGTTGTCATAATTTTTTTCTATTGCACGGAATTGTATTGATTGTGATTCACAGAATCGAAACAACCAGCACGCTGATTCCTAAATAAGTAATGTGCACGAAGCAGTGTTAACAATAATAATCAATAATGCTGCGACAAGAGTGTATTCAAAATACTTATAATAAAATGTAGATTTAACTATCGATAGGTACTAAATTGTAACTAATACAATGATTTACCGCCTACATACATACAGTTCTTAGTTTAGAAACACAGTGCCAACTATGTTCAAACATGTACGAGTAAAACATGGCGGAGCGTGTGGCGACACCACGCCACTTGCCCCATCGATCGCGCCCAATGCTAATAATAAGTAATAATACAATTACTAATCACTGTTTCTGCGATAATGATTAGTTGCAGTAACGGAGACAAGTAAACGAACACAAAAATTCTTAATCTGACTTCCGAAACAAACTCAAGATCTGAGCCAAAGAGCAATTTGAATTTAAAGCAATAGATTATAATAATATCGTACTCACATTGCTCGTAGAATGCTGAAATAGTACGGATGCCGTAGTTGGACAGTGTGCAGAGAATCTCAATGATCGCCTCCTCGTCGGTACCCATTCCGGAGACAGCGTCGTGGAGTTCCTTAGCGTAGTAGTGGGGGAGGGGGGTCATTAGCGCAACGATTACGTTCTCCAAGTTTCCGCCCAGTTCGCTTTTCAGCTCGCTTATGAGGTCCTGGTGGAAAATGACTCGTGTAAGCATGCCTTTGACTTTGATTCCACATTAGTGCTTGCTTGATCTGTCTTTGTTCAACTTTATTATCAAGGTGTAATAATTCGTCTGGTTAAGAGAGTATCAACTATTTACCTATTTCTAGTACAAAAGCACGTGGTAGAACCAAGCTTCAGCTATATTATGGTTGTAGCACGAATGGGTCTGCTTGATCGGGGAAGGATCACGCTCTCACAGAATACCAGCGTCAAATAGCAGCTTAATGCTGCTGTGTTTCGTATGGTGAGTGTAGAGAACCGGATACCCTTTTCACTGGAAACGAGGCGTCCCATCTTAGCCTCAGGGGTAACAACGTATCTACATTTTTATTCTTAATCGAGGATAAATGAAGATGTTTATGGGCCACAGCATTCACTTACCATCCAGTGGACCGTATGCCTTGTTTGTCACCCTTATTCTATAAAAAAAAAAAAAACACAATCCTATTTTGATTTGTTTTAGTTTACCAAACCAAAAACATAAAGAATAGAATGTTTTGCCATTGTATTTAAGATCTCCACTTAGCCACTTGTAACTAAGTTCATGCAAAAGTTGAATAAATTCAAATACGTTAAATAAGCTCCACAAATTAGTTAAAAGTTTTATCTACGACCAAATCTGCAATGTGTGGGAGATTATGCAAGCGAATGTTTCACATAGTAACAGACTAACTATTAAAAAGCCCGACAAAATGCAAAATTTCGAAACGTACATAAAGTGTTGGGTGTATGCAAATACTTCTAAATGTGATTGGACCGGCATCATAGACATACCTACCGAGAAAATACATTTAAATACACAACGACGTATAAAATAATTTTAAATTACTTAATGTTGATTGTAACCAAATCCGCTCAGGATCAGGATATAATTACAAGGTGTGGTTATAAATGGTCGGCACTTTGATTCTAGTCTATATTCTAGTGGTCGGTAATTTAGGTCATGGTTTCAGGACACGAGGCCAGTGTGTGTTATGGATTGCCCATTTCATATTACTTCAAAGTTAATAATAGTAAGCGAATAATAAAAATATGTCACAGAATATCTAGTGGATACTACCGAATAAATATGTCGCGTTGAAACTACGAGCTCCAAATTAGAGACATCTGGTATTACAGTTATTGATCCGCCTGCAACAAGCGTTGCAATCAATAAAAATTCTCCCTATCATGGTGAGGAGACCGAGTCTCTCCGGGCTTTATACCAGTCAATTTAGGACAGTAGTTACAAAGAATAAAAATAAAGAATTTAATAACAACATTGTAATATCATCATGTATTTAATGTAAATTGACAGAGTACATAATCACTACGTTATATCAATTGATAACAAGTTATCAAGAATCTAATACATTCATTTTGTGTGCATCAGTGCATCTTTGATTGATTTTTGTTTTACAAATATTGATTCGAAAATGATATTTCATGTTTTGATTAATATCAAATTAAGCCAATATTTAAAATTATTATCGATTGTTGTTAAGTTTTTACTTTTTACATGCTAGTTTTACGATATATTTTCCTTTCGAAATTTGCGAAACCGTAAATATTAATTGAAGAAGGTTGGATTATATAATTCCTAATTTTTCTTATTTCAATTTATGCTAATTTACTATTCAATTTAAAGTAAAACATTAACATCAATGCTGTCATTACTTTGGGTCTTGATTATATAATCAAACCAACAATTATTGTTGCCATGTCAGTCTTATAATTATTGTAAAACCAACATGTCCTCAATCGTCCAAAAGGAACGTTTAAATGATTATAACTATTATTACTCTCATATACTCTTTTAATTGACCCAAAGTAATGACAGCATTGACGGTAATGTTTTACTTTAATATGAATAGTAAATTAGCATAAATTGAAATAAGAAAAATTAGGACCCTGACACTGACACACTTGCCTTTTTCTCCTAACCAACCTGTATCCGAAGAGATGGGTATGCGATTTAATAAGGAATAGGCTTGGATATCGTGCAAGGCACTGAGAATTTAAAATACATAACAAACTTCGAAACAGATACAGCCTCCACTATTATTTATTCTGTGCTCTGGCAATGATCTCTGGAGAAAAACTTAGATCAGTGAGAAGACTGTCGGCCTATTAAGCGTAAAAATTACGAGAAATTCTTCCGTATTTGGAGAAATCACCCACCCTGGACTGTCCACAGGAGGAAGTTTATTAATAATTACGCATTAATTCAAAACACAATGTATAGTATATACATAAACATTCCTATTTAATTTTTCACGAATGTTAAGTGTTTAAAAGTTCTCTTACAATAATCCTAGACGGTGATTCATGACATGCGGTACGTGAAAGACGATGCTGTACGATGGACCTTAAAATTATATCATCAATCATTTTTATCGAATTTTGAGACAGCCTGTACAATAGTATAGAGGTCTCTGAACTGTTGTGGAATCATTTTTTCTCAAAATTTAAATGACAATGTCAAAGTAAATTTTTTTGTACTTTTTACTTTTGCTCCATAGCAAAGTATTGTTTAAAGAAATATTTCTCTTGTTTTTGACCATTTCATTTTTTTGTTCTAGAATTCAGAACAATCTTTATAAGTACATTGATGTTAATAAATACACCAATTTGTTATTGTGTTAATTGTTGCCTGAGCCCTGACGAAGAGCAGTGGTAGTTAAGAGCCGTGGTAGGTCAGATGGTTAGGCTCGCTGTAAATTTCACAGTACGCAAGCAAACCGGGTTCGATCCCAAATGAAATTGTTAATTGCAATTTTAAGTGCTGATTTTCCACGTGCCCGGCGGTGAAGAACATGCAAGTTCACGAAAACATCGTGAGGAAACTTGCATGTCTGAGAAAAAAGAAAATAATTTCAAAGATATTTGAAGTTCGCCAATACGCATTACGGCAGCGCTGCGGATACTTCCTTGGCCTAAAACCCTCTCAGAAATGAGGGGGGGGGGGGAAGCATGTGCCCAGCAGTGGGACTAACTAACATCAACTAGTGTCGTCGGGATGGTCGTGCATACTTGAGTAAGAAGAACAAATACAGTACATCAATGACACCGTTTGAAAACGAATTTGGCTGTTGCATAATATACTATGTACTCTGAAGACATTCATGCTTGTATAATTGTGTATCTAAGGGTGAAAAAAAAGTAACTGAAAAAATTAACTGCCAGCACACTGCATTAGCGCTTTGGCCTGACTAACACTGACATGTAGATACCTATTTTATATGTGTAGCTATCTAAAAGAATTCCAAGCAAACAAATTATTTTCTCATTTTGAGATTAATTACCATTACGTAATATTTTTATTAGAAAATTTTCGTTGGAATATTTTACATAAAAATTAAATTCGAATAAAAAGAAATAATAGCTTAAAAACATCGTTTTACTTATTTTTAATTCCCAAAAAAAAGAGTATCATCTTTCCGTATAAAGAAATCATTAAATAATAGCTTCTACAAGTCGTTGTCCTAGTCGACCGGCGGCGGCGAGCCACAAGATTGCGGGTAATATTACGGCAGTTTTACTCGCGGCTCTACGTTCTTGATACACCGGCGAGCCAAATAGTTATTCTTTCGAATTTTTTAAAGTAATGTGCCAGAATTTTTAGAACGCTGATGAGCTGCGAGTCTGGGTCGTCAGCTCACAAAAACGCGCTTTTGCGGTTATATACACTTATGGACGACACATACGGTCAGTTCAACTGATCAGTTCAAACTAGTACTGTTCATATTTTTTAAAATTTTTCGATATATCTATAATTATAAATATATCAATATCGGAGTTTTATATATAAGTTTATTATCGATATATCGAAAATCCGATATTTAAAAAAATATCAACAGTCCTAGTTTGAACTGACCAGTTGGAATGATGAGGTGTATCGTCCACAAGTTTTACGGGCGGTCCTTCAAGACGCTAGTCAGGCTCGCCCGTCGATCAGGGCCTTATGACAAATATTTAAAGCCCCAAATTTAGAAGCTATCATATGAAAACAATTTTATTCTTATTAGTTCATTGAAGTTAGTATTTGCTTTTTATAAAAAAGTTTATTTTTTGACCCTTTTCATTAGACTAAATATCATAAGCTCGAAAATCGAAAATATCTCAAGAACTCAAGGCAACACAACTCGAATGTCGTCTAAATAGTAATCCCCTATTTCACCGGTCTAACAGGTAGAATTTTTTTCCAAATCTATATTGTTCACATATAGATTTGGAAATATAACCCATACCCTGGTTCAATAACCTAATCAAAAAATAATAATGATGTAAATCGGCTCACATTAGATGAAGATAGATTTATAGATTCTAAATTAATTAGATTCAATTAATTTTTTTATAATTAAGCAGAGTTGTTTGCAAACGCTTTGCTTATCGTTTATTTTTAAAATGTTCCTTTTTAATAAATAATTATTGTACTTACATCTATTTGCCTACATACATATAATATAATGTATAACGTATTAATGTATTTTATTCTAATGGAAATAACAACAGATATAACGTTGTAAATAACTTTGTGCAGAATAAGTCGACGTCGTGATAAGATATGAAATGGATGAAAGATAATTTATAAAATTAAGTGTCGTTTCGGAGATCAATGATTTTAAATCTAAGCATACAATATACATACAGGTTATAAAATGTGTCTAGACATGTTTGAAATCGCAAAACATTTTTGTCGTAGGCTCGTAGGTAAGATAAAAGAACTGACAGCAGTTAGCGCATTGAATTTTTTGAAATTTTGAAAGTACTTACAATAATATCGCGTGCATGTTGAAACGGAACGAATGGGTTGGCCACACACATACGGAATCCCGTTTTGTCAGCAAAATTTCGAACGGAAAAATACCGTAGGTGTGTGGCGGGTCATTGATTTTATATGGAATTGCTGCGTTCGGAATCCCGAGTCGGCATTCCGAAACGGAATTCATGTGGCCGTCCTAAGGCCCGCCGCACAATACATACGGAATCCCATTTTGTCAGTAAAATTTCGAACGGAAAAATACCGTAGGTTTATGACGTTGTCATTGATTTTATATGAACTTGCTGCGTTCGGTATCCTGAATCGGAATTCCGAATGTATGTGGCCGGCCTTCATAATAGTTCAAGGTTAAACTTAGAGCCTAATGGTGAAAAATATTATAGTGGAAATATTAAACAGTTCCTCGATTATGTTCGAGAACAATGAATCAACGATGAGTAACGAGACTAAGCGAGGTCGTGCAAGTTGCCCACTAAACTTACGTTCAAATATTCAAGGTTTAAGCCAACAGGTACTTTGATTATAATCTTAGCATCATGGCCCATTGCGTTCACGGCAACTTGCATACAGAATTACACCGTAACACAGGAGGTAACTATTATTACTTTTTAATCGGAATGTGGGAATTTTTTAGCCCACATCAAAAATGGATGTTCTCAATTCGACTGTGTTTTTTTTTTGCTATAGGCTTGTGATATTCCTTAGTTCATTACAAAGAGTCCAAAAATTAGATTTTTAATAAAAAGTAAAGCAAAGAATAAAACAAATATCACATAGTTATTAGCTTCTGAAGTATGTTAGTGTTGACTTCAGAAGCTATTAAAGTTAGTTAAAGTTAGTTAAAGTTACACCCTATATATGTCCCATTGCTGGGCACAGGTCTCACCTCATTTCTGAGAGGGTTTAGAGCAAGGAAGTGTCCGCCGCGCCGCGCTGCCCAAATGCGTGTTAGCAAACTTCACGTGTCTTCGAAATATTTTTTTTCTTATTTCTCAGGCATACAAATTTCCCCACGATGTTTCCTTCACCGCCGAGCACGTGGTACACTAGCACTTAAAATTGCAAAATCCGGCGAAGATCGAACCCGGTTTGCTCGCGTACTTACTATGAAATTTACAGCGATCACTAACCATCTGATCTACCATGGCTCGGAAGCTACTCGTATTATGTGGAAATTATTTTATTTTTTTGGTTCTTTGATATTTCATTCTATCTACATTTTATTAAAATAATATTTTTTTAGTTACTAGCTTCGAAGTATGTTAGTGCTGACTTCAGAAGCTATTAAAGTTAGTTAACGTTACACCCTATATATGTCCCATTGCTGGGCACAGGTCTCACCTCATTTCTGAGAGGGTTTAGAGCAAGGAAGTGTCCGCCGCGCCGCGCTGCCCAAATGCGTGTTAGCAAACTTCACGTGTCTTCGAAATATTTTTTTCTTATTTCTCAGGCATGCAAATTTCCTCACGATATTTCCTTCACCGCCGAGCACGTGGTACACTAGCACTTAAAATTGCAAAATCCGGCGAAGATCGAACCCGGTTTGCTCGCGTACTTACTATGAAATTTACAGCGATCACTAACCATCTGATCTATCACAGCTCAGAAGCTACTCGTATTATGTGGAAATTATTTTATTTTTTTGGTTCTTTAATATTTCATTCTATCTACATTTTATTAAAATAATATTTTTTGTGATAGGCGAAGATAATAAGACTATTGTAATAATATGTGCGGTTTTACATATGCTTTTACTGCAGTAAGCAAAATTTACGCAGATCTTATTTAATTTAATTAGTGCAAAAAGCATGAAATGTAACTTATAATCATGGTCGAATACTTAGAAACCTTCCAAGTTCGTTACATGAAACCGGTTTTTGAGTGGAGCGATATGTAACCTAAAATAAAGAACGACATCAAATTATATGTATAGAACACTTGTCTTGAAAATTTGTAATATTAAAATTGACATACATTAATATATATATATATATATATATATATTCACATACTTTTCCGTAGTTGGTTTTGAAAGTTTCCGCGATTTCCAGTCTTTGCACTATGCCGCGTCGGCACAGGACATCGATGATGGCTTTTTCATCGGTACCGAAGCCCTTCATTGCCTTGCGGAGGGTCTCGGCATCCGCAGCAGGGTCGAAAGGCTCCGCAGGATACACCGTGGGGGTACACTGTAACGATCATACTCATAAAGAAATGACTTACATATTACTTCTGTGGCAACAGGATTAATACTACTATATGAAGTGAAATTACCTAATATAATCACTATCATCAACAGCCTTTTACATACATTTCCACCGAGTGGAAACGATAAATACGTTATCCGGATTTTGTTTGGCTTGTTAAATTTGACCATTTTTTTACATTTTTCATATATGTACTTACATAAATACTATAGCAATTATTGATATTAATATTGTAATGAATATTGAATAATTAATAATAAAGAAGACTAAATTATTCAATTGTAGTTATTTCGTTAGAACTTAAGAAGATTTTACGGTAAATAATAAAAAGCATTGTTTCACTTTAAAATAATGTCTTACTAAGACAAAAAAATAAGTTTCCGGATTTTTTACCAAAATGTCCGGCTAAGCTCGCTGCTCTGTCCGGCTTTTCGGTTTTAAGACCTGGCAACCCCACTCGCAAATGTCACAATGAGATAAAACACTAACTAATCAAGCGTTTAATTTTTTTATGAATAAGGGGGTTATTATTTAGCAGTGACAACGCATCTGCAGCTTTCGTTGTTTGAAGTTGGCTGCAGATGTTCATGGCCTTCAGCAGTCACTCACCATCAAGTGGACTGAAAAATTGTTTGTCCCTTTATTGTTATGAAAATATCCCCGAAAAGATTTCGTTTTCCACATCACAAGTCTGTTACATTTGTAATCGGCTTTTTGGTTCTGGATGAATTTTCCACTATCAGTTTATCACGCGCAGGGGAGTTTAACAGTTGGAAAAGTATTATGCCAGCCATTATTATATTCATTATACTTAAATTAGTCCTTATTCATTTCTTCTCAAATAATAATAATACTTACTCTTTATCCCATTTTATACCCTAATAACGTCATTTTCTCAATACTTCAATGACTGTTAAATTATTAATAGGTACTAATTTCACGGATTATTTAAAAAAAGTAATAATATAAAAGTGGTATAAAATATACCTAGAGACATTAGGATAGGTTTTTTTTTTATTGAAGAGGAGGGCAAACGAGTTAACGAGCATGCGGGTTACCTAATGATAAGTGACTACCGCCGCCCATGAACAACTACAAAACCAGGGGAATTGCAGGTGCGTTCACGACCTTTTAGAAAGAAGTAAGCTCTTTTCTTGAAGGTCTTTAAGTTGTATCGCTCCGGAAAAATCGCCGGTGGTAAACTATTCCACAGCCAAGTTTTACGAGGAAGACAACTCCTAGTAAAACGCACAGTGGTGGACCGTAGTACAATGGTAATGTAATTTCTTTCCCAAGAAGAGAAGTAGGTAGTCCTATACCTTTAAACGAGCAATTCTTGTATGTGTGTATGTAACGGCTCCAACGATTTTCATAAAATTTAGTGACCAGGGAGTTTCGGGGGCAATAAATCTTATCTAGCTAGGATTTATTTTTAGAAAATGTCTTTTTGTCCGTGTTTTCAGGCAATGAAAAACTGCTACAATATAAGAAGGTAAACTTTGACACTGTGTTAATGATCGTAATAGCTCAAGTGGATATCGAGCAGTCGCGAAATCGTAATTCCTTGGTTCGCGTTCTGTTATCCGTCCGTCTTTTTTTCTTTTGTTTTCAAGTGTCCTTCTTTTGTGAGAAAATCTATTATTTCGAGCCCTTATTTAGTATTTTTTAAAAATACGAAAACTAATTGAACTAATTGTACTCAAGATTTTTTTTTCAAATAAGCAGTTCAGTTTTTTCTATTATATCAATAAGATATTATTCATTTTCACCAGTATGTAATTTGTATCTAAATGTAATTTTAAAAAAAACGAGCAAAGCTCGGTCATCCAGGTACTTTATTTTATTATTATTTAAAAGCTATTTGTATGTACTACTGACAATATATACAGCGGAAAATATTTGAATAAAAGTAACGTGATAATTTTTCCTGAAATTCTAAATAAACAGATAATCACCACTCTATTAGATCTGTGGTTATATCATAAATAGGTTACCTATTTGGTCTACGGTGTACTGATAGTTTACATGACTCGTTACGCTCACAGATATTATAGATATTATCTACTCATGTGTAACGCTGCTCTTTACAGTAGATAGCTATATGTAGGATGTAGGTAATGAATGTAATATAAATTGTACACCCTCTCAGAAATAAGAGGAGGCCTGTGCCCAGCAGTGGGACGTATATAGTCTGTAACTAACTTTAGTTACCCTTAGATTATTTACAATAATCTAAGGTTACAGCCTATATACGTCCCTGCTACTACTGTACTGCTGGGAAGCTTTAGATATATTTAATTATTATGTTATCTATATAATTGTAAATATTTGTGTTATTTAAAACATATAATATAGCGAACCATACGCCGTATTACATGAGAAAAGATTTCAAGTGTAACCTGTTTATCGTTGCCTCGGTAAATAAATGAACAGCATTTGTAACGCCAACCTTGCTCCGGAAAGATGACATCATCTCCTGAGAATCGATACTACATTACGGCTGGGTAAGTACCCAGGGTCGCACGACAAAATGTAGAGGAGGAAAACTCACCTTGTACGGGTAATACTGTTGGCCACTCATGATGAATATTTGCTGAAACAACAAAAAGTAATGTTATTCAGTTAAACCACACCCGGCTTTTAGTCTATTGGTTGCGCTAAAAATAAAACTTCATTACTACCGAGTAACAAGCAATGTAGCCGCGCCCGAAAATTTATTAGAGATAATATTTATGAAATAATATAAACACAAGTTTTCACATTAAAGTTATTACGAGAATAATGAAAAGAAACATTATTAGTACATACTTTATGAATTAAAAAATTTGCGACACACCCAACCGATTTACTATAGAATGTAAACGTAACTAAACGAGCGAGCGAAAAGCGAATAGTCGGAGGCTCGGAGGTCGGTTAGATTCGTGGCGTTTTGTTAGTCCTCTCACTCACTTGCATAATTCAGATTTTATAAACATTTGGATATGTTTGTTAATAAAAAGTTTTTTGTCCGGTATTGTATTAATTTTAAGATGTAAGATGTAATAATACTGATGATGATCACATCGGCATTATTAAAAATAACAATAATCATCATCATAGTCATGAAAAGTTTATTATGATGTTGATCAAAGTGAATTATAAAACTGTTTTCTGTTTCTAGAAAACTTTGAGTCTATTATTTCCCATACATAACTCCTATTTATCGTTAGATGAAGCTATTTTTTAATTTTTTAAACCTATCAAAATGTTAAAATTTCAAAGTGCAAGTGTAATTTTTAACTTTCTACTTGGAAGATGGGTAAGATAATTGAAAATCTAAAATTTTCGGTCTATGGAGTTTGACTAGAATATAATGCAAAAATGTGTGTGTGTGTGTGTGCGTCTTTTTCGTCTGATATCTCATTTCCAAACTACAATAAGCCACTAAATGAAAATGGTGAGTTGATGAGGGCAAAACTAGCGTATGTTTAGATTGTTGTTGATTATAGCTATGATAATAATGATGAATGTGCAATGTTAAATTAATCATGTCCTCATATATTTATATTTCTATGTATCATAATTCATAATAGATTGATTCGATTAAATATTGATTCGTTTTACGTGTCTAAATCACTAAACATCTTTAATTAATCCCGATCACACCATCTTTTTTTCTTAAAACCTCAAACAACTTTTTTCTTATCATACAGTTTCTTACTCTATCATTTAGAGTCATTCCCAAAATACTTCTCAATTACAATTACTGCACTTCTACAGCATACATTCTACTCTCATGCTTCTACCGCAATTAGCTTCTACTACCATATATTTAAGTAGGGAGTAACACACACGGTGAATTGCCATAGGAGTCTCCTTTGATACATTCAGACTTCTCACTTGTTCTTCTCGGTTATTGCAATTTACTTTCCTCCTGCTAAACACAAATCATCACCACATCCACTTGTTCAAACATCTCCCCTTGTATTGTTATTTCACATATCGTTTTAATTTATTTTTCGAAAACCATCACCTTCATCTTACTTGTTCACAATTATTAGTCATTCTTTTGAAGACGTGCTTACTAATTAAACGTCGTACGTATTTTATTATTGTTGGCGTACATTTAGATAAATTATACATGTTCTGCAACAAAAAAATACTAATTTGCCTGTCCAACTGTGATAGACTGAACAGACACCAAAATTATATGCAGAAAAAATGTATTTTAAGATATCTAACATTAAAAACGCCTACTTACTTATGTACAATAACTGTATAAAATAAAACTTATTGCCATTGCCATTGCTACTTATTTTTATAATAATGTGTTTTTATCATATATGTGTATTGTATGATTAAAAATATAACCTCAAAAAATTTTTATGGAGAAAATTTTTAGTTGTTTACCCCTGAAATAGCCACGTAATCGAGCTAGTGATGATGTCATCGCACGGGCGGGAGCGACGCCACCGCAGCCAAGCCAACGCGAGCGCGACGCGACGCCGGCAAATAGGTATTATTCGAAAGCCGGCTCGCTCAAATATTAAACTTTATTCTGTGATTAAACTTAGAATGAATGAAAGTACCTACTTTATAATTTTATATCGTAATTCGACAGTTTATTCTTTTATTGCAACTGCAATAATTTGTACAAACCATATTACTAAACAGTCTGCCGCAAAAAGTAATGGGTACTTAATGGTTCACTCTTCACTTCACTATTTCATTTTCACTAACGGGCTTAGTACTACTAGTAATTTATATATCTATTATTTTACTCGACTGTCGCTGTCCCAAAAAGGAATTTTCTGGTTTTCGTACCTAAGTTTGATGTAGTATGTACGTAATAATAAAAAAAGCTGTTCAGCTGTTATCAGATCCGCTTCCAATAGAACTTCAGTTAGTTATAAGGTAGGTCCTTGTTTCCGGGCGGTCACAAGGTTCATTCTAAGGTCATGGTCAGGCTCATGACTGACATGATGAAACCATAGTTCTGTACGATACTTACGTCCAGTTTCCATATCAGAATTTATATTTAAAAACAAGAAAGAATTCCAAGTAAAACTATTACATAATTTCATAGGAAAAGGTCTGATAAACAGACCATTCTCAGACATAGATACTACTCTGATAGTGCAAAGAATTTTCATAATCTCAGAAAGACAGACATATTTGTTTTATTTATTTATTATCAATTATATCGCAGATTTATCACAAAACATATGACGAATCTGATGATTCATGTTAGATACCTATTAGACATTAATACTGTCAACTTGATGAAGTCATATGATTGTGAATAAGGCCGATGACGATTTCTTTATTTCATGACGTTTTGAAGACGATAACTCACTTTTCGACAAAAATAAATTTTAAAGAAAAGCTTCGTAATTTTATTTAATAATAATATAAACATTTTAAAGGGTAAACGCACAAAATAAATAATAGTACTACGTAGTAAAAGGCAGTTTTCAGTGTTCCGTGCCAAAATTGGTAAAATACGTTTACACAGACGTTTTTCTTCAGAGGTGATTTCATAAAGGCGAAAAAATTCACGTAAATTCATGTAAATGTTTGTAATGTGTGTATTAAACTATATATGCGATATAACATCCCAGTTTGACCAACTGCTATACCTACGCTACTCCTTCTTTATGAAAACACACGTACATATTGCAAAACAGACATTGACAAAATTAGCACAGGTAAAGCTAGACCCTTCTTCATCCACCGTATTCTCCAGACTTGACTACTACTTTTTCGAAGTTTAAGCTATTATTTATTCGGTTTAAGTAACGTTTCGATGGGCAAATATTTCAATTCCGAAAAATCAGTAAATCTTTAAAGAGTTTATCGATTCTCCCTTCTATTTACCTTCTTACTTTCAACAAATTTGAGCATGCGTAGTTCTTTATTCTTTATTATACGTACTTTAAGATGATAACAATTTAAAAAAAATCTAAATAAAATGTACGAAGGCGAGCTTAATCCTAATAAAAGTTCGCTTCAAGTTTCTAGCAAACCCCTGGATTAAGAGAAATAATATTATAATCTGGAGTAGAGCAAGTAGATACCAGCGTTCTGAGGCACGTAATCACTAATTAGGGGCCTGATTCACCCACAGGCTAACTATGCTGAAGTATTGGGCGCACGGTTCGAGGGGGCGCTGAGCTCGCCTTTGCAAGCATCACTTAAGTACAGAATAAAATTTGGTATAATATTCTCAATAAATGATAGAGTAAGTGCCGCAAGTATTTTACTTACGCTTCTCTCTTAAATAGAAGGTAAAAAAAAACAAATAAAAGATTGTAAAAATAAGACAATTCAAATTTTAATTCAATTCAAAAAATTTAAACTGCTCAATCCCTCTAATTCTATTAAGGTGTTATGCCAGTCATAGACCTTCCAGTAATTTGATCAAACAGACTGGTTCAAACAGTTTTATCAAATTGTCATGATCTTTCAAACGACTGCACCACCTTCATGCAGGCTTGAAGCGGCGTCAGATGTTCAACATTTGATCAAAGTTTCCCACAGAAATTCATGCCAAAGTGATAAAACTGTTTGAAGTAGCCTGTTGATCAAATTACTTGAACGTCTATGACCGGCATTAGGTTCTCTTTCTGAGTTTAGCTTGACTCTCGATGATGGGGGGTACGTAAATCCTACATACTGCCACAATTGAGGAGAGGGAGACCTTCGTCGTATATATTATATTTTGTACATAGCGAAGGGCTTCGATGGGCTTTGGCACAAAGCGCTTCTTTAGAAGTTTTTTTCCTATGAGCTTCAAGCAAAATTGTACAGATGTATAATCAGTTTTCTTGCAGCATCAAAGTCGGAGTAGATGGTGCACACTCCAACTACGGGCCAATTTTATTAAAAAATAAGGGTGACAAAGGAACTCTCAGTCCACCCGATGACAAGTGCAGTTACATTTATCCTCGATTAAGAATCAAAATGCAGATGCGTTGTCACCCCTGAGATCTAAGATAGAATACCTCGTTTCCAGTTAAAATGGTCTCCGGTTCTCTACACTCACCATTGGAAACAAAGCAGCGTTTAATACTATTTTACGCTGGTATGTTGTAAAAGCATACTCCAACCCCTTTCGAGCCGACCCATTCGTGTTACAACCATAAGATAGCTGCAGCGTGGCTCTACCACGTATAGACATTTAATGCTACTGGTCCACAGGGTTGGATACATGCCGATGTAAAAAGCATTACACTGGTGATGCTTTTTACACCGGCCGTGCTAATATCTCTCGGAAAAACGTCAGCGACAGCGAATACCTGAACAAACTTGTGTCTGAAGTAGAGTTTTTAATGATCAAAATCTCGGATTGAGGACGAGCTAGTATATTTTAAACTTCCAGAAAACAGATTCGCGCGTTTATCAATAAAAATAGCCCTTTTGTCGTATCTCCTCAATTTTAGGGCAGTTCCCATGCTGCCTCATCCAGCATCGGGAACCTTGACATCGACATATCGAATGGCATTTAGTTCCGCGGTCGCTTGGAAGAGAAGGCTAAATTGGCCTCTAAAAAAGCTTGGCGTGCTCAGCAGAGCGAGACAGTATTTTATGCCGGAACACCGCTTGCAACTTTATATGGCGCATGCACGGCCGCACATGACCTCATTCCGCTTTCTCCGGGGAGAGTACTTACTAAAACAAATTATTCAGATTAATTCCCGCCACCAAATTCCACCATACTCACGGTATCATCCACACCATTTTGATGCTTGCCGGTCCACGATGACTGAGCGATTTACTAGGAGTTTTCTTCCTAGCAAGACTCCTTTGTGATCATCATCTACCACTGGCAATTTTTCGGAGCAAAAGACTTGGAGATCTTCAAGAAAGGAGCTAGCTCTTTTAAAAGGGCCGGCAAAGCACCTGCAAAAATCCTGGTTGCAGTTGGTCATGGGCGATGGTGGACACTTACTATTAGGATAAATTGATATAATGTGGGCGAAACCGCGGGTTGGAA